CATTTACAAATTCTCTTTTGTGCAAGCTTCGATTCAATCAAGCATAAATTTTATTGTCTTCTTTGTACACAGAATATTTGCATTACAATAGGATCTCTGCTGAAAAAAAGAATATATATCATGATACTTAAGTAAAGGCTCCACAAATAAGATCTCAAAACTGGTATATTGGCAATGTGTAGATGGACACACACATTCTCTCCCATGTAAAGTTGTTCATAAATTTATCACCTGGGGGATAGAGAGAGGTATGCTTTCCGCGTCATACAATGACTTGTGTGTTTTTGTTGTTGTTTTATTTATATCATTTATCTATTTATATCATTTATCTTGTTTAATTAAGAACATCTTAAAAACGACACAAAGTCAAATGATAATAAGCCACTTTGATCTGACTACGAGAGGTACAATATATCAAGTCCATTAGGTGGCTTAGGTGACTTTAGGGTAAGCTAAATATTGCCCTGATGTTTCTTTTGTTCAATTCATGAGGTAAGATGAATGGCTGGGCTGCCTAACAGAATAAAATAATGCCTCGATTTTTTTTAATGTTTGAGCAGGGTTATATTGTTATTGGGCAGAAGTCCTCTAGGTTCTTGCAATGCAATTTCTTAACGTCCAAGCTTCTTGATTTTACGTGGATTTTTTAATCAATGGATTGTATTAACCTCCACTGCAACCACAATGAACTGCTTTAAGTACAATAAAAAATATACCACATATCGACTAATCTATGATTTTGGCTAAGAACGTTACTTTTTGTGCCTTTATAAAATGACAATTAATCATTTGCAAAATTCACTTTTGTTATGATTGTACCATAAACTTTATATCTTACAAAATTACAGAACAATTGCTTGACTCTTGATCCCGAGTAAGATCGTCCAGCCCACTAGACACAGACAGCAGTTTGATGCCATATTTAACATGATAGGATGGAGGACTTGCAAGGTTAATAGTCCTCATCACAGTACTGCTGTTGACAGTGCTTTCGGTGAGGGTTGGAAGTACCAGGCTGCTTGTTTGGCTTTTTAAACATCTTGAATAATGAAGGTAAAGTAGATGTCAGAGCACTTGGTATCTAAAACCATCGATTATTTTTCAATAATCCAGCGGACGACTCAGCTACTGTCTGCGCTAAATAATCATGGAACTCGTCCACGGGAAATACTGATAAAATAAATGTCCATGCTATGGTAAGCTTAATTTATTGTTTTTAATTTTGGATAATGATAAGATAATGATAAGATGAAACTCAAACAATCATAAAGCGCATTAAATATTATTTTATAATATCTTTTCCTCATCATAACGAACACTAAATTATTCCACCAATCAGTTGTGCATATTAATACTGTCTTTCAAATCCACCGTATAGCGCGCGCGTTCATTTCGCAAAGAATAGTTCTCCGCAGATTTTATATCATTACTTCACTAAAAGGTATTCGCCATCTTGGTACTTTTATYATTACCATGATGCACTGCGCCAAACCAACATGACGTCATATGATTACTATAGTTGCATACCTTTGTAACATCTAAAATACTTCCATAACGTGAACTGTTATTCTCTGAGTGTCTTGTCTCGATATTCTTGTTATCWTWCTTCTTCTTTCTTCTTCTCCTTCTKCKCCTTCTGCGTCTCGATCGATGGCGGCGATTTTCAGTGACYTTGCCCTCGGYAACGCATCGTGCATAGTGAATCTCCTCAATACGRCTTTTACGTCTTTCCGCTCTTCGCCTTTGATATTGACCGCTGCTTTTTGATGTCTTTGGTGGWGGAGGAGGTGTTGGAATTGTGCTGGAGTCTTTGCTTAMAGATGTAAATTCACTTAAAGAGATAAAACAAGGAATGAAAGGCCGGTAAATAAAAACAGAATTAAAGGTTTCCAATAATCCCTTACTACCATCGAAGTGGAATAATAACGAGARCTTATCTAGTTCAGCCTGGAAATTGGAAYTACTTACTTGATGAACGCACGGACAGTGTTTCCCATCAGCGGTAGACATCCATCGCGCGCAAGCTCATATTGTGACGTCACAAAGCTCCTATATTTGGAATCAGTGCAACTAATTGAGTACCGGTATATATAAATCGTCTAAAGAGGATATCATGAAATGAAAATATTACAGAATAAAATAAGAAGATAAATAAGAAAATMATGTGAACAATAAAGATTTCCTCGCCATACAGCTTGCTTCAGTCCCAACAAAATGCTGCAAAGCGGAAAGTCGTTGGCTTTATTTTCAGTCGTAAAAATGTCTTGGACATCTCCAAAACAGCTTTTCGATGACGTGTAGTTCCATGTGATGCTATTGACCAATGCTTGAAATCTGGATTCTTCCAGCTTGAATTAGATTTATTTCATGAATTGCTATTGGACAGAAGTCCTCTATGTTCTTGCAATGCAATTTCTCAACGTCCAAGCTTCTTYCTTTTACGTGGATTTTTTAACCAATGAATTGCATTAACCTGCACTGCAACCACAATGAACTTACTACWTTAAGTACAATAGAAAATATACCACATATCGAGTAATGTATGATTTCGGCTAAGAACGTTTTTGTGCCTTTATGAATAATAACAATTTGCAGCATACACTATTCTGATGATACACTTTAAAATGCAAAGAGTTCTTTTCAACTTGTTTTGCAGCAATGTCATGGAAGGCAAGCTAAGAAACTTAAGTTTTGGTATTACTGCATCTTTGACTGACATTTTTGCTACGAGCATTTATCTTCTACACTCACTCATTATGTACGCATGATTTTCCACGTTATTSGTTGTCACGACATGGAAATTAATTATATATTCTTTTTTCATAATGAGGCATAGAGTTTCAGATATGATTGCAGTGATTGCATARGCAGATGTAATATGCAGGGAAACAGTAGTAGTTTCTTTTTCGCGAGCGATAGATTTATTATTAATTCTATCGGATGGTTGATGATAGTGTATTTCAGCCTTCGTGCAATCGAYGAGTAACTCTTTATTTGTTTGTCTATGTACACCTCTATATATTTAAATCATGTTCCAATATCAACTGAGGCTTGTCCTTTTTCCATCTCCTGTTCCTTAGTATATTGTATACTGTATTTGTATCACTGATACACACTGACGGGACAAATTAAAATAAAAAGCACAGAAGATAGCTTTATGATCTGCTGATGCGATGTTTAATTCGTTTTTTGACATATCGTGATATTATTGACATACTTACGAAACTAAGTGTACCTTTCGAAACATTTTCCCTCTATAATAGAGCATTATATTTCAAATAATATCCGTAAAAAATATGATAGATAATTCACAATCTACAAGTCTACATATAACTGGTCTTGTAAGATTATATAAGTTAATAGCTTCATTAGATTGTAGGATCCACCTGAACTACCAATGGTTTAAGTGACCAAATGTATGAACCATGCCATGAAGTGTCATGAAAATGCATGATCAAAAACAACCTTTTTTGAATTCGCTCTTCCTAATTCTTTATCAAGACTTTAACTGAAACAATTCAAGTAAGGATCCTACAGTAATCTCGTCTGCATTGCAATTGGTTCTAGTCTTCTAGCTTCAAATCACATTATAACACGGATCAGATAAGTTGTTGATCAGTTTATCAAGTTTAGCGTAAAATCAAGTTCTTGAGCTGCGTCAAGCATTGTTCCATTAGTATTATCTTGCAATTGTTGTTAAAGTATCTTACATCCCTTGTTGGTATTCCTGTACGGGTTTTCATGGCTTAATTTCGTGTTCACCAACGGATCCATAGCTTCCTGTTGTTCACAGTACTGCACAAGCTCATTGGCACACTGGGATATCTTGCGTCTGTCCAAAACGACTTCTCTCCTTAGCTGGTCCACAACTTGTCTCTGGTGCTGTAGGTCACGGCTAGAGATCTTGTTTTGGAGCATTTTCAATGTTATTTTCAGTTTGAAGGCCAACTAATTTTGGCTCTCTAGTTGTGTCTGTTTAAGGACCCGTGTCTGTCTGGATGCTTTGGGTCAATGTTGCTTCTTAGCAACGCAGGGGTTATGAAGGAAAAGAAAATCGCATAATGACGTCACACCCTTTTTACCGTGAGAGYAGATGTTCAGAAACAGTGGAAACTTGGACACTTCACTCAATTTAAACTAGTTTTGGTATTTCCCATTAATTAGTAACTGCTAATGTACACATTCTTCAAGATGCAAGGATTCGGTTCCCCTCTAATGACCGTAACCCTTACCGTAGAACAATAGATGTTTTGGATGCGACGAAATTATGCCAAATGACAATTGACAACAACGCTCTACAGCGTGCATACAAGAAAGAAGACGAAAAGCACGCCAAAGACAAAAGCACGAAAATTAGCAAGCACGAAGGGCTCGCCACTCGCAGTCGACTCGCTTACTTACTGAAACTGAAACTGTTTATTGCTCTTTTTTGATATTAAATTCACAGGATAAAGTGATCGTRTCAAAAAAGATAAATAAGTATAAAAAACTTGCAGTATGGCAAAGCGTTATGGGAAGGTAGAAAGAAAAAAAAACAAGAGACGGACAGGAAACACTGATTTTGAATAAAAACTTCAAAAACAAAATGAGACGAAAAAGATAAAACTTTATTTGTATATTTTCCCTGTAATTCTAATAATCAGGAATAATAAAATGAACACGTTAAGGTATTTTACAAAGCTGTAGCTTGTGCTTGTTTCTGTTTGTCACTAAATTCCTGCATACGTTGCTCGATTTCTGGTCGATAATGTCGAATAAGACCCTGCAAAAGACACACACTTATCAATAAAGTTTCCGTAAAAGTCTTAAGGTATTTATTTTAGCTTCACTCTAGAAATTTATAAAATTCATTGCCTATTTCTTGCTCTCATTTATTTGAACATTAGAGATCCCTATGTATATATGTAGATCTTTCTCCATAGCCAGAAAAGTTCTTGAATTTAATCGGCAACAGAGCGCGCTGTGTGGTCATGGGATATCGAAGATCGCATTGCATTTCTGGGTAGAAGTTACCACAAGGTTGAATTCCAAACTTAACTCATTTATCTTTTCCTCGGATCGATGTTGTTCTTTTTACTTATTGATTAACTGTATTTACCTGGACAGGCCAAGCAGCACCATCTCCCAAAGCACAAATAGTATGTCCCTCGATCTGCTTACTCAATTCCTAAACAAACCACAAATCATCAATCCACTGGACATATTGACACAATTAAGGAATGTAAATTTCAAAGAGCGCGCACATACAAAGAAGCGCGCCCTTGGGTTGTGTATTTTTAGTCTCAATCATTTATCATATAATTATCTTTGAAATACATATAAATTTCTCCATTTCGTAAAGTTGATAACACATTCGAGGTTTCGCTATATAGTTGAAGTAAGAAAAAAAGTATTTTACGACTTCATTTGCTTTCATATGTAATTATATGATAAAGAGAATATTGCATGGTCGCTTGGAGATACGAATTTTATCTTCTCGTTTTGAAAATCTCTCACACGCTAACTCGTGAGAGATCTTTTCAACAGTCGAAGATAAAATCCGTATCCCCGCGCGCCCATGTAATATTGATAATTCACTCACCCAAAGCATGTCAATTTCATCTGTCTTTGCGTTTCCTTCAACTAAACAAAGTAGACAAGGTTTGTAAAATATACCTCTGCACAAAATTAAAAAAGAATAATTTGTTTTACCAAATCTGTTCATGACTTTCAGCATCCAATTACAGCCCTCTCTGCATGGGGTACACTGTGGAGTAGAAAATAACGAAATGAATGACTGAACAAATGGACGAATGGGTGAAAAAATGGATGAATGGATAGTTTAATAAACAAATGAATACTTGAATGAATAGGAGATAAAATAACATACCTGTCCACAGCTCTCATGTTTATAGAATTCAATTAATCTTGCAATACCTCTAATGATATCACTCTGTTAAATACAAAGATAACGACACCTTTATACTAGAAAACACATAAACTAGAGTACAAACATTAAATGTGTGCAATACTTTCCACTATTTACTACAAAATAGTGTTAATTAAAGAATCATAGCCAACCGCCGTGCCTTGCGAGCCGAAGCGCCATTTTAGGAGGACACGAAAATGGCGGATTCGTAGGATTTCTTAAAGTGAGCGCGAATCGTCTTCCGTCCTTTCAGTTTGGACAGAAATAACTTTAACTAAGTACCTCACAGGTACTATCAATCTATAATTTATTGTATGCTTGACGCATTTAAACGTATGTAAACAATAATACGAGCGCGCAAGACACGGCGGTTGGTTATGATTCTTTAAACAATAGAATTAGCATAATTTAGCAGTATTTAGTGGTATTTATGTTGCACAGTTTTAGTGTTTGTACTCTATGTACTGCTAACCTGTTTGTTAAATACAATCAGAGCAGCCGTCCCTAATCCTGTCTGAGCCTGTACAAGGGCATCAAAGTCCAACAGAACATCTTCACACACACTGATATACAACAGAATCAACAATGTTAAAAATAATGYAGACACTCCATTAAAAACAATACATTTTAAGGGAACACAAATAGGCATTGTGCAGGGGCAACAGAMCACAGCATGAACAATATTTGTGCTCTCAACACTTTGACATATTTATTATAGAAATTAACAAAATCTGTTGTCATATTTTCTTAGCAAAAGTCAAAAGCAGAACTTTTGATGTTTCTGTGGGAAACATATAGACGAGTTTTTGGCAATAATTTTGGTGGAGATAAAAAAGCAAGGACTTTCTATAGGTTGGGCTGCCTGTGGACAAGAAATTTTCTTACTCTTTAGGTATGAGAGGAGTAGATGAACCACCAGGAATAACCCCCAGCAGATTGTCCCATCCACCTGAAAATAAACATACAATTGTAATGGTAAGAAAACACATCATATTAAGTGTTACAGCATTCAGAGTGCTGCAGAGAAGTGCTATACCTATAACACCACCAGCATGCTTCTCTATCAACTGCTTTAGTGGTATTGACATCTCTTCTTCTACAGTACAGGGATGGTTAACATGACCTGAAATATTGAAAAGCTGCAAAAAAAATAAATATATGAATAAATTAATGAATGAATAAATAGAAATAATAATAGAAATACACTGAAATCAATGAATAGATAATAAAAGGGGTAAAAAAATAAGTACATGTAACATATTATTTACTCATACAGTAGCATCAGCAGATAAAGTATTATATACTCTCAAATATATGTACTTGYTTGTCTTGTCTAATTTATAAATGGGAAAGCAAATCAATAAATCATAAGCAACATCTACAACACAATACACATACAGTATATAACAAACCTTTGTTCCTGTGTTTCTTGGTCGACCAAATCCAGCAAACCATTCTCCCCCACGTCTACATATTGCCTTCAAGATYAACAAACAATCTCAATTAAAGGTATATTTTGTATTATTATCTGTGTTTTCTTTGCAATAATAACCCCACAATGTTGTATGTATATTGATGCTGTCTATCATACTGCTCATTCCACAAGCACTTGTACTTAAATGCCCATGGCTTCCTGAAGAGCATATTAGGTACAAGCACAGGTACTGTATATAATTAATCTTTAGACGTTTTATTAGGTTGATCAAAAGTTGACTATATCAGTGCCCAGTACCCCTCTGGATAAGAATGACAAAGGGACCCCAATTGAGGATACTTACAGGAGCTACAGCAACAGTCTCAACATTTGCAACAGTAGTAGGACATCCAAATACACCTTTTATTATAACAATAAACAAATATTTAACAAATAGATCTCATTTTTCCATGCATGTCTACTCTAATAGATACACAGATGACGTCAAAATGTAGTGAGAACAAAAAAGTACGCACGAGACGCAGTCGAGTGCGTGACTGCTGTTCTCACTACATTTTGACGTCATCTGTGTATCTATTAGAGTACACACGCACGGAAAAATGAGATCTATCTGTTACAATTAGTTTTGACGTAATCCGTGTATCTATACTTTGATAACACACGAAAGGCAACCAATCAAAACATCTGATTTTACTGAAAAGTTGTATAAATAAGAATATAAGACATCAAATAATAATTCTCGTGATGATGATGATAATTACAATGACTAACTCAATGGAGTCAGTAACTGATGAACAAGAAAAAGGCAGATTATGATCTATATATTGTGTCTTACCAATATCAGCTGGAAATGGTGGCTTTAGTCTTGGTTTACCCTGCTTTCCTTCAAGACTTTCAATCAGGGCCTAAATATATTAAATTGCGGAAAAATAAATAAGGACCACAATAAACTGATTCATGTAAAGCAGATTAGGGAAAAARGTTTTGTGCTTAAAATTTCCAATCGTTAATTATACAGGCATTCTGGTTAACTAATGTGTTAAAATTAGAAATTTGTGTGTCTTCCACTCCAAATCCTGGGCCTGACACAGGAATCCCATAGCCAGAATGCCTGTACTTTGTTAAATCTTATTTGACCTTTGATTTCAAGCATTTCAAGCTATATATAAAGCTATTTTATTAACAAAGCTAACAAAACACTGGTAATGGTCATCATACCGTCTCTTCACCACAGATRTAAGCACCAGCTCCTCTATGCATGTAAACATCAAAGTCAAATCCACTGCCACAAGCATTCTTGCCAATCAAACCAGCCTTGTATGCTTCATTGATTGC